TTTATAATAACAATGTAAATAATATCGTTTTCGTATTATTCGGGATGTTTTCGCCAGGAAAAGACTTACTGCCAGAGAGTGTCTGAAACACAAATGGTTGGCGCAACAGGACATGGACATGAGCTGCGTGATCTTGAGCACGGACAAACTCAAAAAGTTCATCATCCGCCGGAAGTGGCAGGTAAATAATACGTGACGGTTTGTCACGGTCGAATATTTCCTGAAAATGTTTTCATAACCAACTACCGCCACCGCGTCAAATATTTTATTTTTTTTTTTTTTGTACAATCATTTATAAATTGACACCATAAATTTAAAGCTTAAACAGTCAAATTCGTTCGGTTTCCAATTTACAAATGATTGAAAATCGACAATTATATAAAATATTTGACCTTGTAAACGCACGAACTACAAACTCGCCCTATAAACTCGTTAGCCGAGTAGAGTGTTTTTAGATACTAAAATTAAGTTATTGTTATTTGTTTATAATTTTTTTTACGATTTAGTAACTATTAATCATGAAGAGGCAAAGCTGGGCAGTAACTAGTTACAGAGTTATACTAAAGTTATAAAGCTACTAAAATCAATAACTTGGTAACTTGTAAGTTACTTTTAAATTTTATGACTTGTAACGTAACGAGTTACATTTTATTTGGATCAAAAAAGTTACAAGTTAGTTTTATTATTTTGTGACCGATATCTTGTAACTAAGAATTTTTTTTTGACATCGATATGTACCTAACATAATAGATAACAAAAAAAAAAAATAAATGATAACATTGTAATAACGACCTGTTACTATGGAAAGTCCGTTTCTAACATCAATTTATGAATGTTATCTTATTTAAACGTAACTTGTTACTAGTTACTCAATGAGTTACTTTTTTTAATTAAGAACTTATAACTTCACTAAGTTAATTAATTAATTCAAGGAAGTAACTGTAACTTACTCAGTTACTAAAGTTGAGTAACTTGCCCAGCTTTGTTATAAGAGAGTGCTTGCTCGCATGTGCTGTTTACGTCATCCAACATGGTCAGTTTTTGTTTAGCAGAGACAACCCGGTGATGTTAGTTTTCGTATCAAAGTGAATTGGGCAATTAACAACCTAAAAGACACGGACATTATTCGTGTCTTGTGGTAGTTTTGTGCCCGTAATTCTAACGGCCGTGATATTTCGCCACAAACTAATGTCTCGCTTGAATATTGAAATTAAGGGGGAAAAAAACCGGCACCCGATACGGATGATGTTCTTATCTTTGAGTTTGATAACGGGCGAATTCACTCTAACATTAAAACTATCAGCACCCGGTCGTCCCCGCCGAACAAAAATTTGCCGGGTCGCGCTCGGTCGCGAACATGACGGTAACAACGCACGCGGGCCGTTTTGAATGAATTCACGATTTTAGACGATTTCCCTAGATTAATAACAGGTAATAACACTAACATATCGATTTTGTGTCAATCGATCGTTAAACTTTGCGGGTATTTTTTTATTTTTTTTTTTTTTACATTAAAACCTTCGTTCTGAACAAGGCATAATGGGTAGGCAAATTACTAACGTACACGCGATCGAATATTATACAACGCCTCAGATTTTTTTTTTTCTTTTCGAAGTGTTCACTGTTCGGCTTTAATTAATATTATCGAGTATCATTCATCGTTAACGGCGAACCGAGTTTCGAGGCGGCCGAAACGCCTGGGTTTTTTAATTCCTTTACAAAACTAATTCTAAAGTTAAAGTCGTTTGCAAACGCCGCGAATTCCGATATCCCGAACACGGTTTTTCGGTCCGGCGTTGCCGACAACCCCGTCAGAAATGTTCGTAGAAAAAAAATTGTACGCGAAATCGATTATTTTTCTCATTACGACGTTTCGCAGTTAGTAAAACGCCGACGATAACCGCCGTGAGGAGTCAAGATCAATCGCCGAAACGCACACCCGGGAGCCGCGGTCTTTCGGATATGGGAATTATTTTTTTTTAACGCGGACCTTTTCGGTTAATTTCCGGGTTTCGAACGGGGAAAAAACCGACGGCCCGAGCGCGATTATATTTTCGATTTTTTCGTCGCCGCCGCGTCCGGCGTAATCACGGCTTTTACGTGTTCTGTAGTAAAAATAACACCTCCGTAAAGCGTTTTCCGAGTATGCGATAACAAAACGATTTATTTTAATGTAAACGCGACGACTGATTTACCGCGAACCGACTGCGATAATTCCGTGTGCGTTTCAATATTGATTTTTCCCCCGGCCGATTTCGATATTTTGCGAATACCAAAACAAAAAAAAGGCTTTACAGGCGATCATTTAAAAGATACGGGGTACTGTTTCGACAATTTTATTGGCCGCCGGATTGAACGTTTATTTCAAAACCGGTTTTTTTGTACAAAATGGAAAACTCGAATTTCGAAATCCGAAAACGGAATTCCCGCAGTTCGAAGGTATTTATTTAGGGGACTTACGTCACGTCAACACTGGAAACCGCCCGAAAACGTGCTCGCGGACAATCGTTGCGAGATAAAAAAAAAAAAAAAAAAAAAAAAAAAAAATAAAAAATCGTCCCGTATTGTTTTTTAACGGTCTAATGACACTTGTGTGACGCCTAACATTAGTTTTTGTTTGATTTTTGTTTTCCTGTTTTCCGTAACGCGTTTTCGTGTGCGTTGCGTTTGGCTTGCGTTTTGCGTGTGCGTGCGACCGCAGAAAACGGGCAACGCCATCCGAGCCCTGGGCAGGATGGCCACGCTGTCGGCGGCCAGTAAACTCGTCGGCGGTTGCGGCGGCGGCGGCGGCGCGGGCGGAGGAGCGTTCAAAATGGCCGGCCTCAGCGAAGAGGACTCGGCGGGCGAGTCACCGTCGTCGTCGCCGTCGCCACCGCGCGTCGCGGCGCAGTCAGCGGCGGAGTCGACGGCGGCCGCGGCGCGGTCAGCGGCGGCGGCGTCGGCCGGGACGTGGCGGCGGGACAGCGGCATTAGCGATTGTTCGCTGGCGACGCTGTCGTCGTCCGCGTCCGCGGCGCCGCACTGCCGGCCGCACGACTACGACTGCGGCCCGGTCAAACCGTCGGTCATCGCCGAGGAAACGTCACCGGCGCCGACGGCGTCCGCGGGCCCCGGCTCCGGACCCGCGCCCGCCCCCCCTCCGGCCGCCGCGGGCCCCGGCCGGCGGCCGCCGTCCTCCGCGGCCCGCGACCACCGCGCCCCGGCTCAAGTCCCGCTGTCCCACGCAGGTACCGGCCGGCTGTTCGAGGCGAACCGGTTGATTTTCGACGGCGGACACCGCAACGACGACGGTCAAGCGCGGCGCAAGGAGCCCATTCGCATACAGACGGCGGACAACTTCAAAAAAGCCGTCGCCTTTTGGAACAGCGACGCGTGAGCGGCGGCCAAGCGCGTCCGAACGTTTTTTTTTTTTTTTTTTTTTTCCGAACAATATTATACGCGATTCACAAACAAATATACATTATCCTTATAAGAGTTTTTTTATTATTATTATTTTTTTTGTTTCGATTTTTTTTAGTTTTTTTTTTTTATTTTTCGTATCCGGCGAACCAACGGTTTCGGCCGTTCGTTTTCGTTTCGAAAATACCCGCGACCGGGGCCACCGTACTCCGCGCGTGTTACAGTCGAAAACGACGAAAATTAGCCAAAGCTTAGACGTTATAACGTTAAACACTGATAATTATCGTACACGGTTTTGCATGCGATTTACACGCGGTCCGCGCCAGACGATACGTTCAATAACGCGATTTCGCTACTTAGTTTTATTATATATTCATACGATCGATATTGCATTATTATCATTATTATTATTATTATTATATTATTGTTTTTATTGTTATTGTTACGCGACGATTACGCGTTATTGTATTATATTGTCCGTCATACTATTGTCGCGACCCGCGTTGTTCCACGCATTGTCGCAATACAGTCGAGCGTTTCGCCGGTTCGTCGTTTGTTTTTGTTTTTTTTTTCGCCTACGCTATAGATCACTGTCGCAGTACAAAAATATCATTGTCGTTGTCGTAATGTGTTATAACGTCCGCGAAACGATGATAATAATAATAATAAAATCGAGTGTGCCTAACAAACACGCGAGCATTTACATATATATATATATACATCACGTTGTTGTTGTTTTTTTTTTTTTTAAATATCAACCGCGGTCGTCGGGCGGCTGACGGACGAACGGGACGGGCGTAGCGGTGACGTGAACGCCCGGTGCGGTGACGTGGGGGAGACAGGGCGCGAAACGAGTGCGTGCGTGCGAGGAAAATTGCGAGACGGTTCGGGCGCGTCGCCGAGGAAAGAGCAAGACCGACAGAAAAAAAAAAAAGCGGTTGGATGCGACCGAGTACGATACGAGGACGGACGGTGCATTTGAGGTCGGGAACGGGGTCTGGCGGGAGTTTCGAGGTCGAGGGGCGCCGGCCCCGTATAGATTTCGAACAGGAACGAAGGCGAAGAAGAAGAAGAAAAATTCTAAAACGAGCGAGTACGCTTAATAGTCCGCAAACAGCCCGCGAGTTTTGGAAAAAACCTATACGCGACTCGGGGATCCGTGAAATTCAATCCTCCGTTTTGCACCGTTTAGCCTCTAGACACAATCGAAGTTATTTCCAACATGGATTTTTTGTACTCGGCATAGCAATTGTGCATTTTGAGGAGGGCGAGTCGACGGCTAGCCCTCTTTCCGTGTAGAACAACCGATTTATTATTTTCTCTCCTGGATTACGAAACATTGTCCCCTCTCCCGAATTTTGAACTGACGTAATGAGTTTACCAAGTCTGCTGTGCGAGAAAATCGTTAAGATGTCTGTGCTGATAGGTGCCGTTGATATTGAAAACCGCAAAGAAAAAGTAATTTTCCATTTTGGGACGATGACGTTAAATTGGCGCTCAAAATTTGAAAATTTCGTGGTAGGCTGTGCTTTGCACCACTCTGGTTGAGCTAAACTACGCCATTAAATTACGGAAAACGAATAAAGCCTATAATGGGGAGGGGACAACTAATTTACCTGTAACTCGAGTGTAACTAACGACGACAAAAATGTCGTCGAATACGTATTGTTGTTAATAATATTATAAATTTCCGAAAATTTCGCCTTTGAATCGACTGGTGGCGGGTAAGTATATTATAATATATTATTCTAAATACAGTTTGGTTGACACAGTTTTGTTTTTGAACGTAACGAGAAACATATTGGTTTGGCTATCTGCTAATTTATGTTGTTCTTATCTTGACAAGTATGGTATAAATGTGAAAATAAGTCTTTCTGTTACCTAAACCGCTCTGTACCGAATTCGGTAAGTTTCGGTATAGCGATTGATGGGGCCATAGAGAAAAACATAGGCTACTTTTTCTTCCCGAAATGAAAACCCAAAAGAGACAAAAGGCTTTTAGTTGATTTCGGTACGAAAATTAAAATTATTTTTGTCGAACTGTGTATGGATTACCTTAGTAACACGAAATGAAATGAAAAAATTTCCAAAAAAAAAAAACGTAAATAAAAATACCGTAGCAACTTGAAATAAAGAGTCTATCCGACTCTCTGCCGGTCTATTGTTGGCCGGAAACAGGAATTATTACCTCGGTAACGCGGCTGAAAAAACCTTAAAACTACGCGCTGTACTGGGCGGGTAAGTAAAAACGCGTGTGAAACGTCATCTTTTAGTTTTTGTACTTTTCAATGCGGTAACACCACTTTACAGTATCCACTGTTAAGTCCTCGTAACTTTAACGTTATTATAGCGGACGTACGGTCTGATCCCGGTGCTGTGCGGGCATCCACGGTAACACGGACGAAAAGAATGTACGGCACACTGTAGAACGCTTTGGGTCCATTTTTTTTTCCGTTCAACGCGCTTATACGGGCAAAGCGAAACGGGAACAATGGTTAAAAAGAATAAAAAAAATGGGCACGGGCGACGCCGCGACCGCGACACTGCTGGTAATGACTCGTTCGGACCGTTTTTTCCAAAACACAACCCGTTCGGACCGATTTTGAACGCCCGTTTGGGCTGGAAAAAAAACTACTTTTGCATAGCCCGTTTGGACCGGAATTTTCCTTATATTAGTTTAAATGAACGTTTAATTAACGGGCCTTTGTACGCCGGTATTTTGTCTTTGTTGTCTTATCGTATACGATACCTCGATACACGGATATCTATTATGTTGAGATAATAGATATGGACGTTTATTTAATATGACTGGATTTTTGCTATGTTTCAAAACTCAATCGATACGCCGAAATCGCATGTGAATCCAAACAGTTTACTTATTAATTAACATAAAAATCAGTTTTCTTGGTTTTGCTGAACGTTTATTTAGCGAACCTTTACAGAAACGCATTGGTCCAAACGGGTTCACTAAATCCTGGTCCAAAACTAGTCGCGGTTTTGTTAGTGGCCCGAACGTGCTTCGCCCGCCAGTAATCACGTTGTCTGTTGTGCACACATTCTTTTTCGTGTGCATTACAACGGCAAATGTCCAACCAAAAAACTCGCTCCGATCGAACATGTTTCGTACAGGGACTCTATCGTAACGCCGCGGACCGAGTCGATGCGTCGAAACGGTACTTTTGTTCGCATTCTCCCCGCAGTTTCCTAAACGACGCAGAGGAAAAACCGGGAACATTTTTTATTTTTTTTCGAATTCGCGGCCAAACGGATCACAAAAACAATACAACTATAGCTTACGGTTGCGTTTTAATTGAAAACATATAACGTCATATTGCACATTTTGGTAAAATACAATTTGTATAACATAATATGTGAGTGAGTATTACAGTAAAACACATGTACCTAAGTGTAACATCGAGATTCCGTCGGTGGCGAATATAATATATAATGGGTATTACAATAAAACGGACACACGTATACAATAATAATAATAATAGTATCGCAAGCGCTAAACGAAAATCGAATCACTCGGGTACCTACACGCTAATATTTTTTCTGAACCCTCTAAACTAATATTCGTATTTTTTTTTTTTTAAATTTTTAAAATTTTTTTTTTTTTTTTTGTATTTTAATCGCGAAACTACCCGACGTATTTACGAAAAACGTTCTAAATATCACGCGCCAATGGCTTTTTCAGATGGCCCGAGGCATTATGGCGTCGTAAAAAAAAAAAAAAAATTAACAAAACACTACCGGTAGCGAATAAATTAGACGCGTACTTAAATATGAAAATAAGGTTAAACCACAAAACCGTTTTTAAAAGGAAACATAGACGAGCGAACGGACCGAAAACGGACGGTTCGATTCGGCGGCGTCCACTGACGACAATGTATTGCATTTGTACACCGCGGACGTGTACCACAAAGTCGCCCAACTGCAGATACGGCCGATCGGCAACCTGTGTTTTTAAGTGTGAATATAAACTAGTGAAGTATCCAGCCTTCGAGAGACAAGAGATGATTGCTAGAACAGTTATCTGGACAGAGATGAAAGATGTATTTATATATTATGACAATTTATTTAACCGGAGAAGATAAAATTCACGAACCGGATTCGGTACACACTGAGATTTCGGAATGGTCGTGCGGTCGAGGTAACTGAATAGTTTACTTATTAAGCCGTATTTGTGTTGATGTAAATTAAAAATGTCTCGCCTGTTATTTATTTATTCAATCAATGATTAATCCGGTTGATATTATTTAAACTGTCGACCCGGGATAACCGATTTCTCGTTTGTGCGGAGAAGACGAAACGCAAAAACTCTGTAGATAAACCACAGCGCTTTTAGCAACTCGTTTCAATTAGCGATTCGTCGATGTTTCTCCGCGCGGAGTACTCGCCACTAAAACGCGGCGAGCGGCGACAGCCTTAACTAAACCGAACCGTCTTGTTCGGGCACAAAACTCAGACGACAGAGAAACGGACGGGACACGATTGCGCGAGTATAAGTGTATTTACGGGGCACGCGCTTCATGAGGTCACATGGCAGTTGTTCGAAAACGACAAGTTCAAATGGCGATGACGAGTATAAATAATAAGGCGGGACACTTTACGGCCAAAACGAACCGTTCCTTATCTGTGCGATAATAACCGTTTTCGGCCGGCACTATTTCGGTCACCGACGCAAGATTGCGGGCACGCGATTTAGAGAGGCGGCCACGGGGGGGTGAGCGGCCCCTCCGGATTAGTGTGACTCTTCGGTATTTTATTATTATCGTTTTTGCACGGGTATGATATAATGAAAAAAAAAAGTTTGAAATCGCATCTTCGTGTCTCTGAGTTAACACGGGCCGAAAAGGGAAACGGTCCGAAGGCGTGATTTTTGAACATAGAAACAGACATGTGGCTACATGCGTTTGATTGTGAAACGGAAGTGAAGTTGAAATCAATCGAAAATAAACCGCGATTCGTCACGCGAAAACGCGTCGGGCAGGATTTTCTTGTACAGTGTAAGGTGCGTTTATTTCCGAAAACGGTTGCCATCGATATCGGCCCACTGCTGTTCTGTCCTGCGATAAGCTACAACGGCCCGGTCCGATTCTTTGTTATCTATACGGTAGCCAATCATCTATATTTCCCTTATACCTAAGATCTAAGTTTACAACTACAGTTACTTATTATAATATTGTTATTATAATCGTCATTGCTTAGGGCGAAAAAAAACGCGAGACACAAAAATGACTAGAGATTCGCGTTGAGATTCATACGTTCCGTTTTACGGGGAAAATATTAATTTAAAAAAAAAAAAAAAAAAAACTATAAGGTGCATAATATTATGTACACTTAGTTACAATACTGGAGATAATAGCTATGCGAACCTATCGCGTATAGACAAACGAAAATACGACGACGGCGGCATCTAGCGACATCAATAATAAAATATCGTTCTACACGCAGTACTACAGATGGCGTTCGCGTCGAACGACCAAAATGATATTACAATATTTAAACTAATAATAATAATAATAGTAATAGTAATAATGACAATTATCAGTTAATTACTAAATCGTGCGTATAACGTCGCGTCCGAACTGTCTGTAGAGATTTGTTTAATTTTTTTTTTTTTTTTTTTAGTGAGGGAAGGCTCGTTAAGGTTATTCGTCGTACGTATACGACACGCAATGATAATAAAGAGGTGGAATTTTTGTCTTCAAATGTATAATGTTTGAACGTAATTGAAAGTTTTTTTCGCGTAAGAAGTCCGACGCGACGTTATAAAATAACAATATATATTTTAATATTTCATTATTTTTCGTTCCGTTTCGTGTGTTTCTTCTCAAAAGGTGTGTGCGTTCCGACACACGCCGCATCCCAACGCAAATTCCTCGCCGGTCGGAGGGTGTTTGACGTGCAGCGGACATTCGTCTGTGTTCAAGACCGTCGCTCTAGGTCCTGTGCGTAAACAGAAAATAAAAAATAAAAAAAACAATTAAACACAATTAATAAAAGAAAAAAAACCGCTTCGTAATAAAGCGGATAATATATAATAATACGATAACGTGCGAGTCCCACCGGCCCACTCGAGAGGGCGGGAGCGAAACGTGGACGACGAGTATATGCATACTCAGTTTAAGTGACCCTTCAAAAACCATACTGTTATACATCAGGTATAGTATAACAGTTCTCCGGGGGCGATAAGAAACATAACCTCAAAAACAAAAAGTACCAATTATTAAAATTTGAATTCAGTGTCAACGAATTGACGTCCCCGGATCACGGTAAACGGGATTATCGACTTTTCTGTTCAAAAAACGTGACCTACCACCCGACGTGGATTTTGCTTTTTACCGTAACTTTTATTTACGCGCGACCTGGTTTATCACTAAAGGTTGTGGATTTACACGTGGGACATTCGTTTCTTCGGAACAGTATCGGAATATTACCGGAGTTTGGAACGAGATTTTCACGTTTCGAAGTTGGCATACGCGTGGATTTCAATTTTTTAATCGTTTTCTCGTCGCCTCGCACGAAAACCGGATGTGGCCCCCTATTATCATAGATTATCGGGTGCCGTCATACCTGCGGGACACGGCGGCAGTTCGCTGGGTATCAGGTTGATGACGCGTTGGAAGTCGTCGTGGCACGCGTTACAAAAGTGCGTGGTGCCGAAGCAGAAGAAAACGGCCACGGAACAGCAGTACCGGCACTTGTACTCCAAAAGGTCGGTGCCGTGTTTCGGACACATTTGGGCGCGGGTCACGTCGCTGCAGCCACCGCACACCAATTCGGCGGGATCGTAGTCCATGCCGCCCACTTCCAGTTCGCAACGGGCTTCGCCACCGTAATAGGCCTGCAGTCGGAAATGGATATGTTACAATATTATTGAAACCGTTAACGAAATCGAGTCGGATAAAATCAGGGTAGTTAAAAACGTTTTTTAACGTCTTGATTTTTAACTAAACCATTGATGTAACAGTATTACTTCATACTTACTAATTTAAGAGTCTAAAGTGGTCTAAAGTGTTAGTAAATATAGTAAGTCAATTATCCCCTGAAATTTCATTCACCTCCCTCCTGACAAATATAACTTTCAACAAATCGTATTTATTAAATTTATAAATTACAGCTCTCATTACGGTTACCGTACCTAATGGTTTCCAATAAAATATAATTTTAAATTATTATTACATTTTTATCAATCATAGCTGTATAGGTATTTTGTTTTTAATATAAGAAGTTAACGTAGGAGTTTACACACTTTACACGAGTTATACAGTTCATTTTTTATATTTTGTTATTTTAATTTCTCTTATTAACATAAATACATTTGTAGTTGTTTTATCATTTCATAGATAAGTTTAACCTTAAGTTATAATTGTTTAATTTATTTGTTTTTTTTTTTTAAAACATAGTTGTTTTTTTTTATTATGTGTCTTAAACGTCTAATTAAAACAAAATGTTTTAAACATAACGACCCTGGATAAAATATTTAGTTATTCGGGCGGTTTAAATTCTGCGAATTCGTCGGAAACGAAATACGATTCCGAGTTTCGTGGTTAAACATTTTCCCGCCTTTTCTTCTAAACGCTATTTGAAAATATTGTAATGATTTCAAACGAACCATACAAATTACCAAATCAATTTTCGATTTTCGTGATTTCCATATGGAATTCAAAACTCGAAGCGCTTACAAACGAAGCAAATTATGACATTTTATTTATTAATTTTCAGACATTTATTAATAAAGTTTCGAAAAAAATTACTCGAAAAGATTTAAAACCGTGTAAATCAGCGGTTCTCAAACTTTGTGTGTTGGCGACCTAAGGTATTCACACAATTTTTCATTCGACCTTTTTGAAAATAATTCCCGACGAAGGGTTACCCATCCTACCCAACTTACTTAATGTTTCAATCACCATAACTAAAAGAAACGATTACCTTTAATTTATTTTAAAATCAATACACACGACTTAACGAGTAATGGGTACTTTGTGAAGTTCACGATAATGACCGCTTAAACCAAAACAAACGCTGGTCAACAGCTTACCAAATTTAATTGTTTCTGTGAATGTGATCCGATAGAGTGTATTTATAGTATTGAAAGACTATAGTCCAAATTTATAAATTTATACTTGTTTGTAAAGAAAAATGAAAATTTACGAAAAATATTTCATTAATTATTTTTAATTTTAAAACTATTTTATACAGGCAGTCTAAAACGAAATTATTATATTAACGTTTTTATTATTTGGCGACCCATTTAAAATTGTCCACAACCCGAAATTGGGTCGCGGCCCTATGGTTGGCAAACGCTGGTATATAAATCACCGTCACTGGTTTTTAGCGACCGCACAATTTAATTCGACGCGATGATAACTTGTTAAAAACCCGTTTTCCGAATATTTCAGAAACCGACGTTCCTTTTGCCGATATACTCACTTTCGAACATCGGTAGCACACGTAATACGCGTATTTTTCCATGGCGAACGCGGCCGCGTGATCGTCGACTTTTGCGGTGCAGTCGCCCTCGTATTTCAAACGCATGAGCGCTTTTCGCTTGACGTCGGCCATCAGTTCCCTGATCGGGATCAAAATGTCGTCGAGGCGCCCGTGTTCGATGGGAACCTGCGCAGCACGAATGGGAAATGGGAGGTGTTATCATACAAACATAATACATAGTTGGGTTCGGTTAGGTTAGGTTTTTTTGTTTACCTTGCAAATCGGACACTGTTGGAATCCGAACGTGATGCGTGGTCCCACCCACTTTTTGATCAACACCCTCTTGCAACACTGATAGTGGAACACATGCCCGCAAACCAACTGCAAACACGCGCGGACTATTATTGTTAATACATTATTATGCACGAAGAACCTAACCGAAAACGTCTTGACCAATAAGCCAGTTGGAAAGCTCTGCCACGAGGAAGACCGGGACAGAAACGTGTATGGTCCATGTGAAGAGTGATTTGATAAAGATTAACGAATCAACATGTATAGAGGACTCAGAGAACAGAAATCGTCGGAAATAATTGGCAGAAGCTGCGAATCGTCTATAAGACGTGTAAAGCAAAAACATACAAATATATTTCATGCATCGGGAACACACTCTCTACGCAAGCATATCGATTTCGTAAAAAGACCGTGTCCTGATTAGCTCTTGGGTTTATGCGCTTAGGGCGCTTACGTCCTACGAGTAATAGGTTATGGTTTTTAAAACTCCTGAAGCCGGATACGGTCTGTAAAGTGGCGAGGTGCCCGAAAATATTCGAAGGTTATTCCGACCGCGTTTCGGAATGTCACAAATCAAAATATTATTACACAAACGAAATACCGTGACGTCTAATCACGAAGAACTTCGCTTTTTTTTTTCTTTTTTTTTTTTCGAGTATTATTATCGTACCTGGATGGACGGGGCGGCGGACAGCGCGTCCGTAAAGCAAATCATGCACATGTCGTCGGCGTCCTGTTTAAGAGACGGATTTTCGTGGACGGCGCACCCGTGTAGACACGGTAAACACGTCGTCTCGTTTTTGATCCCGCCGCACAGGTGACCGCATTTCAATACCTTCTGACAACCGTCCTGTGCGTGTAGCTGCGTACACAGAGAACAAAAAAGAAAAAAAAAACACGTTAGATAGGTATGTGCGGTGGGACATGAAAAAAAAACCTTTCTTTCACGACCGGACCGCCAAAATGAATCGGTTTCGATTGTTTCGATTCGCGGGCCGAGATACGCGCGGAAACAAACGTTTTATTTCGATTGAACGTCACGAATATAGGCATCGTCGGCGGCGCACAGAGGAATTCCGAGAGTACACGCGGTCAACGAAAGTATCCGCCGACCGAACACTTTTTTTTGTTTTTTAGGAATTTTCAAACTACCCCGGACTCGATACTGTTTCGCAGTATTGTAACAGCGTCGAGTTTCGAATGTCGTTAATCAATATTTGCGGTCGGGCGGGGTGGGCACGAAATGTTGAAAAGCACATTTTCGTTTTTGAATATTCGTTCACCGGTGTCCGGTTTTATATAGCCGCAATACCGATTAATATCGTAGCGTTTCGGATCCATTTGAAACGTAATCGTCATGGGATTATCGATTGAACTGTGATACGTCACACGCTCCTTCCCGAACCTAACCCCAGTCGAGGACGGACGTTTTACTTTATGTTTTCCGTATGCGATACGGCCGCTGGCTCCGCCCGTTCCGCGAAAGGAACACGCAGTCCAACAATCGACTAAGCGACCGGTTTCCATAGCAATCGCTATCGTCCGTATCACCGAGGTAACCCGTAAATCAACGATAATAACTCGATTTTCGTATCGAAACCACCGACAATCTTAAGTGATGTACCCCCCCCCCACCACTCGTCTCTTAGGGCGGCGATTCGGGGGAATCCGTAGTCTGCGTTACTCGCCTTCGTACAGCGGATTATCAAGCATAAAGACACCGTTAAGACCGGTTTCGCGGTTCAAGTCCACGAATCACGGACGGACAAACGTTCGTTTTTACTCTAACGGAGTCGTTACCGCGCGGGATTATTCGTTATTGTTAACTGATATTAGCGATTCTCTTTCCCCCGGCACTGTCTAATGACCGCCACCGCCGACCCGGTCGGGTTGTCGCATCGGTTAAACGTACTTGGCACTCGTCGTTGGCGCACACGTTCCCGATGGCCAGCAGCCCGTCGTTGCTCACCGTGCCGCAATACCGACAAACGCCGACCCGGGCCAGCTGGTGCACGTTGGCCCGGGCTACGGGCATTGACATGTCGGCCGAGCTGGACACGGCCGGGTCCCGGAATTCGACCAGCGCCTGCAACGTGGCCTTGTCGGCCAGGGCCAGCAGCCAGAACAGTTTGGTCCGTCCGCACCCTTCGTGCAGGTCTACCCGGATGGCCTCTTCCTCTTCCTTGCACACCTAATAACATAATACAAAACAGGCGTAAAATTATGTGAAACGCATTAGCGCATAATGTTCGCCAGCGAGTCGCCTGTAAACGACGGGTAGACCCCGTTAAAACCTATCGCGTGCGATACGTGCGACACGTCGAGACGAATCCGCTGAATCGACCCGAGTGTTAGCAAGGTTTGAGACGCCGACGAGACCGGCAAGAATCGGTTTTTTTTATCATCGCGTTTAATATAATATTACGTATACGTATATAAATAAAAATAGGTGACATGCCGTCGGCGTATGGTATTTTACTTGTCGTTGATGGGTTTTGGTCTTCCGGTGCAAATGCATAATCCTGTCACAGTCCACGCACAGGTTGCCGCAGCTGAGGCACTGGATCGCGGCAGCTGTTTCGCCGTCATCGTGATTCGTGCACAGAGGCTAAAACAGACGAAAACGGACGGGTCGGGTTTGGTTAAACGCGGGAAACGGGAAGGACGAATGTCGTTCGGAAAATTGTTCCGATTTCGGTGTCGTCGTACTCACCCTTGGCGGCGACGGTTTAGACTTTTCTGGTTTCAGCCACTGGCCGGACGACAGTCTCTCCGCGTGTTCCGGATGCAAAACGCAGTGCGCCGCCAACGCCAGCCAAAGAACCGGGTTCTTGACGCACCGTTCCATCGATCTGTCTTCTTTGCTCAGTCTAGTCAGGTTCAGTATGTTTTCCGCAACAGCCGCTCGGGTCGTGTCCATCCATTTTCTGTTACCGCCCAACTTGCCCTGAAAACGCGAAACGGCCGCGGTAATATCATTACGCCCGTCCGCCATCGGCCACCGACCGCGTCACTCACGTTCGACATGTCCCACATGATCTGTATGACGTCGTCGGCGAGTTTTCTGGACGACACGCCTTTGAGATACCACCACGATTCGTCCCGGTCCGTCAACTCCGCGTCGTCGAGTTTCAACGAGTTGACCACTTTGCTACCGTTCGAGCCCTTCATTTTCACTTGCAGTATAAGCGATTTGGCGACGACGCCCAAGAAGTGGTCGAGCAGTCCGGCTTTCTGGGACCCGGACTGCGGGCTGGCGATGGAAAATCCGGTCGGCGGAAGTCGGGCGCCGGTCAACGTGGCCAACTTGCCGGGAGAAACTTCGGGTAACACTCGCTTCAGCAAAAGCGTCACCTGAAAAAAAAAACATTCGTGGTTTTTTTTTTATAATTGTTCGTTAAATGAAACCGACTAGGAAGTGATTGAGGCCCGTTACTTGTCTCTGTACTCTGGCGCTGCCCGTGTGCAACAGACTGAACAAATTCAGCAGCAGATCGTGTTGGTCCGCCAAATAGGATCTGCCGACGTTGCTGCCGCTGAGAGCCGACACCATCGACAGCATTTCGAAGCAATAAGAGTCCGTCGGCGTGACGTTACCGTTATTGGCAACCGTGTCGTTTGTGCACACGGATTTTTCCCATTCTTCACGCATTGCAGCCGCTTCTTTGCGGATCGCGTCTACTATGTGCGTGCACACCTTTCGAACAAAAACGGCAAAACGAAATCGGTAAACCCCGGCAAGCGCGCGTGACATCCGGCATTGTATTGTATACAAACAAATGTATGCAAAAATAATATTTACCTGTTTTTGCAAATGTGTCAATTTGCTCTGGCTGAACAAAATGCCGACCATGTGCTCCTTTAGATCTTTGCTCTCTTCGACACTCGAGTCCATCGACGACAGTTTACCTTGTATCAATTTACCGAACACCTGTAAACGATAAACGACACGTTCGCGGATAGGTTCATGACTGCGGAGTTTATAGTTATGTCTATAGGTAGTCAAAAATTTTTTTTTTTCTCACTTGGAACGTTATCGATCGAAAGACTTTCAGCGTTTCGTTTTCACACTGTCGATGTTGTATGGTGGAGTAACTGTACTGACGGCCGTAGGCAAGCGATTCCCCGGACACTGTTCCGAGGACTTTGATTTGCCTCACGCGCACACACGGGTCTGCACCACGTATTTCGATACACAGGACTCTATGGGTGTCGTCTGTAAACAAATACAATAAGTGTTGAGTCGAAACGTTTTGAAAAAGAATCCCGAAAAGCGCGTCTATAATAATAATAATAATAATAATACCGTGTATGAAAACTCCGAGCCAACCGCTGAATCGATTCTCGACTTCAAATGTTTGTATCTTATTCAATTGTTCAACCGTTTGGCCAGATGAAAATACGACCATAGATATTTTGTTCTGTTTGAAATCAATTTAAAAATAATTGTAATTATCCCGAAAAAAAATTACCGCGAGGGTTTAATGCCGAAATGGTATACTAACGTTCAGATCGCGACAGTTGTCAAAATGAACATAGAAGGCTTTCGGGTTACTGGACATATTAGTACATTGTATGGTAATCGTTTTGAATTTGTTTTTATCGTCTTCGCTCGACTCCCAAAACGTTTCGGTTGTTTGGTCCATCAAATTCGGAACCATTGCCGGTCGACTGGATGCCGTGATCTCGGTGTGTTCGCTAATGTCTTTGAGTAACGACACTACGTATTTATCGTGCTGAAAACACAATCACGGGGTTTGGCGTTAATGTATTACCGAGATTATATTATATTTATATGAATCCACCGATTACCTCCGGAACGTCCGTTAGAGTGTCATCGCAAACGTCTTGATATTCTTCGCTGTGTGACAATATTTTACTGATGTTACTGAACACTTTGCTCCTGTTACGAACGAACGGGGGGGGGGGGGAAACAAAAACAAACATCGAATTACGTTACGGTTAGGAATTCGCATAGACGGCATGCCGGTTTACCTGTGTAAAAACATATGGTCCGCGGTCGAAAAGCTTATGTCCCAACAGCGGACGGCCATCATCTGGAGGGCGGACCCGGGCGGCAAGTACAGCATCAGGTCGGAGACGGTCTGCAAGAACCCGTAGAACACTTGCGGCAGAGGGTGGACGGATTCTCCGGCCATGTACAGGTCGCCCAGCGGATGTCGACACCGGGGCTCGGTGGAATCGCTGGCGCCGTCCACGGAACGGACTTCGGCCGACAGCGCGATCACGAACCACCACAGCAGGTCGTGTAAACACGACGCTTGTGACACTTCGTGCAGTAACCAATTGAGAGCCTGTGGCAAGATAACAGAACATCGTCGATAACAACGAGAAATTAAAAACTTGTCCCGTCGGCAATTACTTGTAACGCGTAACTGCGGCACGCGGCTTTTCGGACCGCCTGTTTCATGGCACTTTTGAGCTCGGCCAAATTGTGCGTTTCGACAATGAACGCCATCGCGGGTCTATAAAACACGTTAATATCCGGATAATCGTTGTTCGCGGTCACCGTAGCCGCGTCGGCGTTGGGCACGAGCTCTTGCAAGGCCGCCGAGGGCATGCACATGAGCGCCAATCCGTTATCTGAAAAACAAATGATAGCTGTAATTATGCATAAACACCGGACACCGTTGCGGAAAACTACACGGGAGAAGGTCTACAACGGGCAGTGGCGGAGTGGTGCCAGCGACGCCGCCTCGTTCGCAAGTGAAAGGAGTCAGAGCACGGTATACCGACGGAGCGGGAAGTGAAGAAATACCCCGGGCAAGTCCGAGGCGGAGCGTTGGATACGGAAAGTTTTCGGACCGGGAACTGCGTTAACACTGTTCAAGGTGGCGGCGGTATGGTGGTGTATTCCGACGGATAATAATAATGATAAAACGCTAATATAGCAATGTACCCGCGTCGATCGTGCTGTTGACCCGTTTCCGACGGTTGATCACATCTTGGCGGCCTGACGGTGAATTCTCTATGTCCATCGACACGGACCGGTGGAAACTGCGGTATACGGACCCATCGACCACGTCTAGATCCTACGAGAACACGTCATTTTCGTTATGAGTTTTCGCGTCGAGGCCACGGCCAGCCGGTAAATACGTACCCCCGAAGATCGATCTCGGAGTTGTTGCAATATGGCGTCGTCGGCGTCGGACTGCAGCAGCTTGTTGTCGGAAGCCTCGAGGTTCCCGAGGCACTTGAACTCGCCCACAGCCCACGGGCCGGATTTAGCGTGCAGAGTTTCGTCGTCGACCGGTCTGCTGCCGCTGCTGCAAGTGCTGGCCAAGTCCAACAGGAACATGGCGTTTTCCTTGAAAGCCATGTGCAGGCTTTCCGTCGGCTCCTCGTTGTAGTTTACGCCTGAGGGACGAGAAAAAAACAATACGTTTAGTGTCGTCGCGCCGGGGGAAAAACGAATTCGGCGTCCGCGCTTGAGCGTTGTCCACTGAGGCGGACGGATCGAAAATAAATTTTACAAAAAAAAAAAAAACTAAAGCCCCGGTCATCGGATGAATTACGATTACCACGTCGGTTTCGTCATTCCTATAAATATTATTGTCGTTTTTACGACTTGCGGGCAATTGTCGTGCGATCGGTTAATTGCCTTTGTTTGTCTGCGCCGCGGGCGCATAAACCGATCATTCGAATTTCGACTTTTTATCCGAAGCCGGTAACATAATGACGCGCCGCCGTCGCGCGGCATTTCGATTATTTATCGCGTAATCGACCCCCGACCGCGGTGCGCGTTATTGCGGGTCGCCTCCGAGAAGAGAAGTATTTAACGGGGGGGGGGGGGGGGAAGTATGTACATTTTCGCCCTATTCTATTTTTCGCAGTTTTCCCGGTTTTTTTTTTTTTTGAATTTTTCGGACCGTCACTGACCGTGCGATTTGCGCCGTTTGACCACGTCCTCGGAGACGGCGGCGGCCCGGCGAACGGCCACGTCCACGGACTTCCAGTACCGGTCCGAGCCGACGGCCGTCGGCCTGGCGCGCCGCCGTTGCATGTAAATGTCGCGGCAGAGCTCGCACAGCAGATACCAGGCGTTGCCGCCCTCGCCGCACGAGCCCGACCACCCGGACTTGTACACGCCGTTGCTGTTGTAACCGCGGCCGCCGCTGTTGTGGCCGCAGCCCGGGTGCGTGGTCAGCATGTGATAGGACACGGGCATGGCGAACGCGTCGCCGCACAGCTCGCACGGCATCGGCTCCTTCTGCTGGTAGTTGGGCATCAGCCGCCGGAACATCCGCTCGTTGTGCTCGTTCGCGGCCGGGTCCGAGACGACCGGGGCCGCGGCCGCGCCGTCCCCGCTGTCGTAGTTGTCCGGGTCGTCCGCGTCGTTGTCGTTGCCGCCGCCGACCGCCTCGTTGTCCGACCACTTGTTGACACCCGTCGACCGGTCCGACGACGAGTTCCGGTCTCCGCTTACCGCCGTTATAATCTACACACACACACACACACACGACAAATCGATATTATTTATTTGCGTTTAACGTCTCTGTGCTGTTGTTTAGACACAGTTTCGTTTTCGTGTTCTCGTATTGCAATCAAAATGTTTACGTACAAAAAATATTACTTGGTTTGTAAATCGTATCTACCGTTGGATGTATCGACGGATTTTTCCAGCGCTGTTAATATTAAATTTTTTTCCGATTCTTTTTTTTTTATTCGATCGGTTTGTCTGCGAGGGGGACATCGATTCGGAGAAAAATCGATTTTTTTTTTTTTATTTTTATCTCCCAAATACAAACGAAAAAATTTTAAACTATCGATTTACTATAGAAAATTTTTCGTAAAAAAAAAAAACGTATCATGCATACGTATTCGATTCGTAGTCTGTTAACTAGTATGCCGATTGTAATTCCTTATCGCATAACGTTATTGAATATTAATTGTTTTCACGCTTAATTTAAATGGCTTGAACCGAAAAACTATTCATCGGACACGAATGCGTGACACATTAAATTGTTTGGAATTATATTTATTACGAATTTATGGCTATTTTGAAAATTTTCAAAATGAAAAAAAAGTTATTTTTTTTCCTTAGGGGATGAAAATAACAATTTAATTTTTCACCGAATCGATGTCCCCTTCGAAGACAAACCGATTGAAAAAATAAAAAAAAAACAAAATCGAAACAAATTTAATATTAACAGCGCTAGAAAAATCCGTCGAAAACGGTAGGAGACACTGTATAGCTCGCGTCGCTATAGTCAAATTATTCTCCGTCTGTTTTTTTTTTTTTTTTTATTATAGAACCCGGCAAAAATATAATGCATAACCGAATACTATAAAAGTATAATACAATAATTATACTTTACTTCAAAAAAAAAAAAAAAAAAATGAATTTTCATCGCAGGTGTCGAATTTGAAATTCAAAACCACCATAAAACACACCGTTGATACAAACGCCGTATTTATACAAAATTTTACCCTCCTTTGATTGTTTCGGAGGTCTGTAGCGGCGATCGAGGCTAAACAAAACACGCTCCCCCACGCAATAAGATGGTTCAATTTACATAGTAATGAAACCCGACTCTAACCGTTTCGACTCTAATTCAAGAGATTGAGCTCGTTTAGAGGGGATCACTAAACATATTCAAGAGTAGCGGGAAATAAAAATATGTGTAACGGGCTCGATACAGTGCATCCAATAGTCTCTATTTTAAAAGGGAAATTCGACAATCAAAAAAAAAAAAAAAATAAAAAAATAAAAACGCCGAATAATCTCGAAAATCCCAAACGGTTTTGTAGCATATAAATGACTCGAAAAGACCTTTAGTGTTTTGGAAATTAAACCGCGTCTAAGGAAATACTAACACAAGTATTTACGGTAAACATTTCTGTTGTTGTATTTCGACGAAATAAACCCGAATCGATTTTGCCAAAAACTGTGTGTTATTCCCGTCTTTCGGAATATCCCTCCTTCCCCCCCATTATCGCGAAATGAACGAGAAATCAAAAGGAATTCATCCGACTGGCTAACTATGGATCCGAAAAGTTACGAAAAATCTCGCGTGAAAGAAAAAATATAACATTATACCGTGGCATTTTTCATGTATAGTATTTGGTTTTTTTTTTTTCTTTTAAACGTTCGGTTTGCGGATAAACATGACCGACATTACAACCGGACACTCTATATTCAGGGCCATAAAATACGCTAAACCTCGTAAATTCGGCCGGAGCCCGGAGATCAGACGGGTAAGAAGAAAATCCTACGAGATGTGTTTACATAGGACGCCGTGCAGCGCAAGACCGCAACATAAATCTCACCGAATAATACAAAAATATATTTTATGAACACCGCCTCCTGTTTATTCGTCCGTAATTTGGATACAGAAAATTGTTTCGTTCCCTTTTTATTAATTTTTATTTATCGCTTTAGGTTTTGACACATTTGCTTGTTGTTTTTTTTTCTCTTTACTTCCCCGTCCGTACACCGACGTTTATAACGAAACAAATAAATTACGATCCCGCGCGATTTACGCATGTCCGACATGCCATGTCTTACACGGAAGGTTGTATATTTAAAAAAAAAAAAAAAACACACAAACAAACAAACAAACAATAACAACGAGATAAGTATCGCGTTCCCGGTGATTTTTCCGTGCGAAAAGAACATTGAACACATCGTTTTAGATACGGCTAAACAATAAACGGCTAGGCGTATCAGCTGGATAACCGAAACTCACTGTCACCGCGCATGTAATGTAGACGTCGTCGTGTTTCCGCCGTTTCCAAAACGATACGTACTATATCATCGTTTCGGCGAAAAACTATACTTTTCTTTTGCGCGCCACGGCTATTTGCGGACAGTAAATTTTTTTCTATTATAGACCTATACAGATGCGGACTTCGCTTTTCGCCGCCCCAATCTCCCCCCCCCCTTTAATCGTAGCGTTTGAACGCGTCAGGATTGAACGAGATTGACAGTCAGACTGCAGACGTCGAAGGATATCACACGGAGAAAACTATAATAATTAAATTTGCTAATTTATCCGGGATTTGTATCAATAAAATATAATCTGATTAATGAATAAAACATAAGGGCGTTATTTATGTTTCTATGACATCTCTCATTTAACGTATCCGCCTGTCTCACTTAATCAATTACATACTGCATTGTTTTATTTTATAGATTTATTCCGGGTGACGTCACGTTTAATGCTCACTGTTGTCCTATTGACACGTTTAGATGTTTATTTAGCCATGGTTTCGGAGTTAAAAACGCCTACTGCGAAATAAATTAAAACCGACGTTCGTGTGATAACTCCATCGCGTGGGGTGGTTTTTTTTAAAAAAAAAAAATCGATTATTTAAAAAAAAACGTATTTGTTAATGAAAAGTGATGTTCGTCTGCAGAACTTTTTTAAAAAAAAAAAACGAGGAGGTGACGGACAGTAACGTACCTGATGAATGTCCGTGGCGATTTCGTCCCACAGCCGAACCATACAGCTGAGCGCGGGCGGCAAAAAGTTTACGGTCGTCTGGCCGTTATCGGACTCCGGTCCCGGTTGCAAGTGGTTACGGTTGTCAGCGGAGGCGATCTCCGAGTTACCGGAACTGGTCATGCTCTCCTCGGTGATGGCTCCATCGACCGGCCAAGCAAACTTCGGTTTCGGGCGGATTTCTTCGTTCGGATGGATGTGCCGGTAACCGCCAGCGCCCGTCAACACTTCCACCGAGTGCCTCTGAGGACCACGGTCCTTGTTCCTACGGCACATGACAATATCACAATAATTATTACACCGTATACCCGGTCGCGCGTAGATATCACCGGCTTTTCAGAAATGTAACACGTCTCCTTTAACCGGTTTCTTATTGGATATGCAATCCGTACACGTACGCATGCCGCGTATCGGTTCCGGACCGTTTCAACCGCAGACCGATTGGGAAATTAATTTTTACAGCACGTACAGCGCACTACGACAGTCCCCGTACGCCCCCTCATCAATATTGGAAGACGGATAGTAACAATTTGATAACAAAGATGGTGACATTGTTTGAAAAAGATACCAATGATGACAATGCCGATTGTCGGTAACTGAGACGAGGTATTTTCGGTTAAAAAAAAAAAAAAACCCAACAACGTACGGGGCACACGCGGTCCGTATTGATATTGACGTGTCTGTGGTCGGGTTACCGGTGCGCTGCGGCGTACGTACCTTTCGGTCATCCTTTTCGTGACCACGGCTCCGTGTTTAGGCAGGCTCGGGTAGAACTTCAAAAACGACGCGCACGCCATGGCGTCGTGAACGATGCCCTCGTGCCACAGGAACGCGGCGAACGTGGCCCGCAGGCTCTCGGCCATCGAAGGACTCATCGCCGTTTTCGTCACTTGCAGCCTAAGAAACATTGATAACCGTAAACAATAACGTAATCAATCGTGTTTTCCTCGGCGGAAACGTTCGGCGTACGCGCGAATTCGTCGGGCATACGGACGCCGACCAAAAATTATTATTACCGAAATTGTTTATTTTTCAGCATTTCCCCGCCCCCCCCCTCTCGCCACGGTCAAATAATATTTTCAATTCGGAATTTTAAACACCCGCGACGGTGGGTTAGGTTAAACACACGGCGAATACGCTATCTACATCGGATATAGTTGTTTTTTTTTTTTTTTATGTATTTTGACGAAATTCGTTTTCGGGAAAACGATTACACCGGTGTCTTCGGAAACGTATTATTGTTCGAAAAAAAATAATAATAATAATAATAATAATAAATATCCCGTCATACGGCATTTTGAGAACATACGCCTTAAAAGGGTTCGCGCGTTGTCGTCGGTAAGGCGGACTAATAACTTTTCTACGGCTTATTGACGTACGGCAATATATTATATTACCGATATATCGTGCGGATTTACAATGTTTACGAAACAAAAGTCGGGACGTCATTTTTTTTTCGGTTTTTCTTTTTTTTCTTTTTTTACGGGGTAATTCTGACGATTTTGCTGGCTGTACCAATAAACGGCCACTATACCGCGGGATTATTATATACGTTTTCGGATGTTTCGAAAGGTCTCGAGAGGCATCACTTAAACCAACCGGGCCGGCTCGAATGTTTAAAAAGTCAAATAAACCCGGGGATCAATATGACCCGCTCGTTTCACGCCTTTTCGAAGGTGGTCGGTACTTTTATGTTTTATTTTTTCCAACGAAATGAAATACACGACTCCGCGGCGATATTACGGCTACTATAAAACAAGTAATCATTCGTCCGGTAGGTATTTTACAATAAGGCTTTTTTTTTTTCTTTTTTATTGTTTCGTAACTACATTAAACGATTTTAATAATCCCGCAAACGAGGTACGTCCGGAAAAAGGTGTACGCGTATATACAAAGAAAAACAATTCAAAACTGCAACGGGATAAAATGGTAACCGCCGCGGTTGTTCGAATACTTTTCGTAATATTTCGAACATTTGTTTAAAACAATTGAAAAAAAAAAAACATTTCGGTATAGGAAAGTGCGTGTTCTTCACAACGCTATGCAATAATGTATACAATTAATAATTGTTTGTTTAATGCGAGTCGTTCCATAACAGCTCTTCAAAGAAAATCGTTTATATTCCAACGTAAAATGGGGTAGCGAAAGTGTTACGAACACCGAACCGTTCCGAAACGGCAGGTACAACAAAACGTGCAATATGAGTTTTTGTTTTTTGTTTTATGTTCGGTAACCAGAAGTACGCGATCCCGCAGAAAACATTACACTTAATTTACTCGATTTGTCCACGGGGTTCTCGGCGGCCGTTATAACATCGCGTTTAAGGACTTTTCGTTTTCATCGCGTATACTTACGGGAAGTTCGCGACCGCGTACAATACCGCGCACAGTGCACACCCGGTGCGCGTTTCCGTCCGCGGCGACGAAACAAAACAACGTTTGCAGTTAAATATCGTCGATCGGAAGTCGGCTAAAAGTCGGCCCGGAGGTTCGACGAGTTCGCCGAATTAGTGGCGAGTATTGGCACAGGCCGACATTGAGAATATCAGATGCCGGGAGAGTTTTTTTTTTTTTCCAAAACCGATATTCGACCAGGCCCGTAACCGGGTCAATTCTTCAGGGGGGACAAACCGAGTTATAGAAGGGGCATTAAAAAAAAAAAAAACCAATATTATGACTCTTTACTCTTATCGTTTTTTTTTTTCCGATATAACGATTAATTCGAAAATGGCCGTCTTCCAATTTTCGTGTAGAAAATGTCTATAATATATTTTTGGAATGCGAAAAAAGTGCTTATAAAAGTCAACATAATATTATAGTACAAAATGAGTGATGGGTAATTTTAAAACAAAGTAACTTTTAACCTACTAACTAAGTTATAATTACTCTGCACATTTGGTAACTTATTTCAATAGCTCAAATTAATTTATATTTTAATATTAACATTCACTTGCAGTGACGTGCGTGGGGGAAGGTTAGGGGTTATTATATCTCCTCTAGTGGTTTAAAAGTACAACCGCTTTAAATATTAATTTGTTAATTTTGTCTTGATATTATATATTTATAATCAGACTACAAGGAAAAGAGCTTGATTTATTTAATATAAAATTCGCATTTTTGGATCCAAGATTTAAATTATCATTGTCAGGTTAGAACGAAGTTGTCCTGTTTGTTATTATTATTTACTACATCACCTCCTGTTGAAAATTCCCGGACTAGCGTCTTTTAACTAAGCTAGATAGTATAAGAACGGTTTTACAAAAAAAAAAATGAAAAACCCGCGATATTTCAAAAACCCGACGTTTCATCAGTTTTGGACGTGCGTACAGCGTGTAACGTATGTATATTACAATCGATCGGAAAAAGTACACATTTTATTATACTCGATAAAATATGTAAATATAATTTTACTTTTCCCAATAGAATATGCCGCGTGTTTAGTGTTGTTTAGAACTTTCGTTCTTCTACCTAGTAAAATTGTTTGCAGTTCGACTCTCATTTACGAGAATACGACGACAAATGCCATTTCCGTTTGATCATCGTACAATATCATACTCGGACTTACTTGGGCTCTTGTACGTTTATTTCCTGTTGTCCTTCCTTGGACTCAGGCGAATCGACAGAATCGGTTTTCGACCCGCTCTTCGAGCTCGAACGATTCTTCTGCGACGTTTTGCCTTTCGTCGGCTTTACAATATTCGGCAAAAAACTGACTCTCTCGTTCTCCGGCGTCGTTTGCGTGGCCACTTGCGATACGCCTACGGAAACTTGGGCTTTCTGCGAAACATTTTACATTAAACGAGATAATAATTAATATTTTAGGTACCATATTAAAGTCTCCCTTTAGATGTTTCGTGCATCTGTTTCCTGATTTCATTATGACCGAATTACCAAAACTTGTTTTATTATTAAAAAGCCACTTATGCGGGCAGACCGCATAATATACGAAACACGATTACGCCGAAGTTTGGATTCATTATTATATTATATCAAAGTGAGTGACTAACAAGATTGCAAATGCTGCAGAGTAGAACGAAATTTAAATTGTAGTCTTTATTAAAACATTTCATGTTTAAGCCTTTAAAAAGCTAAATAACGCTAGTAAAATGGCATTTCAAAAGAAAAAAAAAATAATAACAATTTAAAAATATAATCATACGATAGCGTTAAATCACTGCCAAATCACTGCGACCCAGGGATTATAAATTGCCGGTATCGGCGATGGAAGATTATTATTATGTATATTATAGAATAATATTACGGTATACAAAAACGGGATAACGTACAGTCATGCTATCGGGCTGGTCGACCGAACTATCCACGGAGGTGGACAGACTGGAAGTTATATGGGTGTCGACCGACGAAGAACTGGTGGTCGGAGGCGCTGTCGTGTCGCTGGACGCCGATAACTGGCAGGTGTACGTTCTTCTGGAATCTGTAACGCGGTCGAAACGAGATAAAAATATTTTGCTGATAATACCGGCCGTAAACGCTAGACTATCGTGTAAACATAGTTGTTGTACTCACATGCCGTGTCATTTTTCCCGCCATTTTTGTGCGATTTTTGCTGTTTGGGCTTTTCTGGACCGCCGAACTTACTGCCGGCTCCCGCGGGAGTCTTGCACGGGCTGCTGGGAGGCATCACAACCATGTTACCGTTGTTCATCCGGTTCGGGCTTTCCGTGGGCCTCGGCGGTCGGTGGTACGGTATAGGCAACGGGTTCGCGTTCAACCTGAAAAGCGAATGGGAAATATAATCGCAGTCAGTTGAGTGAGGTCGATATGTTGTCCCAATATTAAATTATATAGCGTGGGATCCGGATCTGAAGACGTACCCCTCGATGACTTTCACTTCTTTGTTCTTTCTGAGCTGTTTATGCACCTCTTTCAGTTCGTTATCGTCTGAAAAACAAGTGGTTTCGATTTTAAATGCTGTACCGCATCAATATTGTGATTCGGATATAGAGGACGGTGGCAATATGCATAGATTTAGAATTTACAGGAAAACCAGACATTCTATTAGCAAGGTTCCGGACTTGAGCGCTTAAAGTTGTCAAAACGAGCACTTTGCCATTTCATATTCGAAACCGTTGTCGTAGCTCGACATCAATTCCCACAGAATTCTGTTGGATTTCGTGTCAAGCCGAAAAAATGGCGTATACTCTCAGTACTCGTCAAACAATACGGGAAGTAGTGTACGTAGAACAAGACGCCCGATAATATATGTCGCCTCAAATATCTTACCCATATCCAGCTCCTCGATCACAATCGAATTACTCGTGCTACATTTTCTTGTATTGGCGTTACTTCTGTTGGTCGCTTTGGGATCCCTTAATTTTCCTCCGACTTCGTTGTCTACTCGCCCCAAGAGACTCGTCTCGTCTCTGCCGCCGTCCTCCTCTGAAAAAAAGTTACGAAAATTAAACGAATTACAATACACAAACACACGAAAACGAATAAGTACATTTTTTTTTTTTATTTTTTTTTTAGCATTCTGACCGGAAACACTCGTACCTACTGTAGATTTGAAATTTGTTGCGCATTAGTTAGGTATTATCATTATAGGTAATGGTCGTTATACCCACACGTGAATTAAAATGTACGTCAGTCACGTGTTATATTTTACCAAATTCGTATTCGGTTCCAGAGGCGTGACGCTGCCCTTACATTGTTAGTAGAATTGTTCAAAATATATCCAAACAATGTTTAAATAGACTAGTTTTAAGTCCCTTTTTTTTTTATAGACTGTCCTATACGTTAAACGTTGCGCTGTTCATTTCACGCCTAGCATTGGAATTGTATTGAAACGCTTTAATGAAAATATAACGCTAAGTGCGCTAGCAGTATAAAATTTAGCGCGGAATAAAAACAAAGCGGACTTCGGCAAATTTTAGCGCGTTTCCAACAAGTCTATTTAAACATTGCTGGACGTTCGTTTGGAAGTGTTCCGGTAACAATGCAATGCCGACTTCACGTCCCTCGATTCATCGAGTTTTAAATCGGATATTAATTTTAAATAATATGTTATATTGTTAAAACAACCAGCGGAGTCTGTATTCTATTTCCGGATTTGTAATATTAAATTTATTTAGTTTGTACGTCATTATTTTGTTTTTTTTTTATTTATTCCTCGTTAGTGATCATATTTTCAGTTTATGAGTTTTTTCTTATTTTTTTTCTTATTTCGTTTATTATTAAAAAGTTAAATTATCCTCAAGACGAAAAATACGATTTGAAAAAAAAACACCGTGTACTTTTATTTTGTTATTATTAGTTTGTTTTTTTTTTTCGTTCGGAATATTTCCGAAAATAATAATAATAATATGTATAATATTTGTTTTTAATTTCATATTGTGCACGAGACGTATTTTAAATTGTTTTCGGCGTTTTGTCAACTGCGTATAGCTATATCGGATATTGGTTTTTTTTTTTTTTTTTTTAATTTTTTGCCC